CTCAGCTACTCAGGAGGCTGAGGCAGGAGAATTGCCTGAACCCAGGAGGCGGAGGTTGCGGTGAGCCGAGATCGCGCCATTGCACTCCAGCCTGGGTAACATGAGTGAAACTCTGTCTCAAAAAAAAAAAAATAAATAAAAAGAGAGAGAGAGAGAGAAAAGATTTAGAATGTTAGAGCTGAGAGGAAGCTTTGCTATTGTCTGTTATTGTGGTTTCCAGCTTAGAACTTTTTTATTCAAATAAAATGTTACACAGAAGCATGAATAAGACTGCAAAATCTGACCTGTTTTGGTTCAAATGGAGAGTGAGGCCTTAAGTTGTGTGATCTTGCCACCACTCCAGGAGCCTGAGAGAACACAGTTGGAAGATCAGTGATCTTATTCAAGCTGCACACTTTACAAGTGAGGGAACTGGTCCAGAGAGAAACATGCTTTACCATTAGTCATATGGCACAGGTAGTCTAGGATTGTTAATTTTCATCTTAGTGCTTTTCCTCCTTGTACTCCTGTTAAGTTGCATGTGATATAACACTGTTTAGGAGAATCCTGATTATTCTGAAGAAATCCTCAAGGGCGAGTTGGCACGGATCATCTACAAAAATTCTGTAAGCATAATTAAAGGTAGGTATCTTTTGAACATTATTTTTGGTAAGAAAGATAAACATTCTTTTCCTAATGAAGAAGGTGTTTAGCTAATTTTGAAATCTTCCATTAGAATGTATATAAAACTCTGTAGGAATAGTGTCCTGTTTTTTTCAGAAAATACTTATTTTCCCAGGCTATAATTGAATATTTCAGTTATTTCTTTTTTAAATTTACATTCTACTACCATTTTTTTTGAGATGGAGTCTCACTCTATTGCCCTGGCTGGAGTGCAGCAGCATGATCTCGGCTCACTGCAACCTCTGCCCACTAAGTTCAGGTGATTCTCCTGCCTTAGCCTCCCAAGAAGCTGGTACTCCCATTTTTTTCTCCCCTTACCTTTCAATAGGTTTGTTTTGGGCTTGGTGGCTCACGCCTGTCACCCCAGCACTTTGGGAGGCCAAGAGGTGGGTGGATGACCTGAGGTCAGGAGTTCGAGACCAGCCTGGCCAACATGGTAAAACCCGTCTCAATTAAAAATACAAAAATTAGCTGGGTGTGGTGGTGGGCATCTGTAATCCCAGCTACTTGGGAGGCTGAGGCAGGAGAATCGCTTGAACCAGGGAGGTGGAGGTTGCGGTGACTTGAGATTGTGCCTGGGCAACAGACAAGACTATCTCAAAAAAGAAATTTCAGTAGGTTTTTGGGGAACAGGTTTAGTGGTGATTTCTGAGATTTTGGTGCACCCATCAACGAGCAGTGTACACTGTACTTAGTATGTAGTCATTTATCCTTCAATTTATTATTATTTTTTGAGACAGGGTCTCACTCTGTTACCCACATAAGAGTGCATTGCTCACTGTAGCCTCAACTGCATGGGCTCAGATGATTCTCCCACCTTAGCCTCCTGAGTAGCTGGGCATGGACCTCTATGCCTGGCTAGTTTTTGTACTTTTAGTAGAGATGAGCTTTTACCATGTTGCCTAGGCTAGTCTTGAACTCCTGATCTTAAGTGATCCTCCTGCCTTGGCCTCCTAAAGAGCTGGCATTACTGGCATGAGCCATTGCACCCAGACTCCGTAAGTTCTTTTTTTTTTTTTAAATAGAGATGGGGTTTCACCATGTTGGCCAGGATGGTCTTGATCTCCTGACCTCGTGATCTGCCCACCTTGGCCTCCCAAAATGCTGGGAGGCATGAGCCAATGCACCCAGCCAGTAAGTTCTTTTTTTGTTTTTTTAACCCTTCCACTGCCAGTAAGTTCTTTTTTTTAGACGGAGTCTAACTCTGTCGCCCAGGCTGGAGTGCAGTGGCTCGATCTTGGCTCACTGCAACCTCTGCCTCCCAGATTCAGGCGATTCTTCTGCCTCAGCCTCCCGGGTAGCTGGGATTATAGACGCCCACCACCATACCCAGCTAATTTTTGTATTTTTAGTAGAGACGGGGTTTCATTGTGTTGGCCGTGCTGGTCTTCAACTCCTGACCTCGTGATCTACCCGCCTTAGTCTCCCAAAGTACTGGGATTACAAGCATGAGCTGCTGCACCCAGTCCTCAGTAAGTTCTTATGGAGTAGTTAAATCATGTGGGCAGCTGAAAATTAGTTTTTTTTTTTTTTTTT